AAAAGAACCTCAGGCTGCAATTACCTTTACCATCTGGTAAGCATTTGCGAGGTCGACAGTGTCTAAATGGGGGCAAGAACATCGTTTTTTTTTTCTGTTTTGTCTCCTATTAAATATATCCCCCCATCCTAACAATGCAGTCACTTTTTAACGATACATTTAGCAATTAATATCTGTTTATAGATGGAGCACGCCTCCGGCCACAGCATGCTCATTGTTTACAGAAAGACTTTGTTCGGGAACTCTGTGCCCAAAGAGACTCTCTTAAAAACTGCTGCACGTTTTCAAAAGATGGCATTCACGACAAGAGGGGTTTTCCTACATGAAGCCAGCACCATCGTGTCCAGGACCCCAGCACACACAGGGCCGGCACATTCAATTCCATCAGCGGCCTTGTTGGCTCAAAACCAACACCAGGGCCTCCCCGGTGGCGCAGCGGTTGAGCGCTGGGTGGCGAAGCTGCCCGCGGCCTCTGCGGCGCCGGTTCGATCCCTGGCTGCTCCCCGGCCACTGGAGGAGGGTCCCACATGGCGCGCAGACCTCTCCTGCCGCCCGCTGCTCCCCTCAGCAGTGTACTTCGGTCCTTCTGCCTGCTCTGCTCCCCGCTCTGGCTCTGGTGAATTCTCTCACCCTCCCGCGCTTCTGACTGTACCCAGTGCTTGTAGAAATAAATAAATCTTTAAAAAAACAAACAAAAAAAACACCCAATACTAGCCTCTCTGGGGGATTCCATGGTACAGTTAATGCCCTCGAAAAATCAGTGTCTCTGCTCAAATCACATACAACCTACGGACATTCCTCTTTCCATGGGGGTGACTGGAACAGACACTCAAAGGCCTGAGTGAGTGCAAACATTAAGTGAGTGCTCACTCCTACGGCTCCATCTGGCCCTCCTGCCTCCTGTCTGCCCCGCTCCTCAGGAGTCTCCTCTGGGCAAAGCCACTGACTGCTGGGAGGTCCCTGCTTCTCAGCCTCAGCAATTTGCTGATGGGGATGGGGGTCTCCCTAGTGTGGGCTGAGGAACAACATGAGCTGATGAGTCAACACGCTCTGTTCTTGGCAGGACATGGTGGAGGTTGAGCACAGAGCCCCCCACCCAGGGGGGAACAACACACACATGATCTCAGTCCTCAAAACCTCGGCACCCAGGGTGCAGGGCCAGTTGGGACAAATTGCTCAGGGTCACACACACCTCCTTTAGACCAACCGCTACGAGTCTGTGGGAGTGAGCTCCCCCCACGCTCCACCCCTCCCACCATGCACCCCTCCCACCCTCCAAATGCAATGAGCTACCAGGGCTGACAACCACGGGTTTGCAACACCCCAGACTTCCTGCAGGAGGCTTCCTGAGGCAGGCCCAGGAATTTGCATTTGCACAGGCTTCTCAAGTGAAGGAATTTGCATTTGCACAGGCTTCTTCTGTGCACCCTGAAGCTTGAGCACCATTTCCCTAAACATAGATGCATTAGTGAGTCTCATGGGGCAGTAGCTCCCTCTTTTCTAGAAAATCACAGAAACTGAACAGCTACTCATGCCCATTCCCCTGGCTGCTTGGAATTTGTCGACATAAACAACAGTTCTTTCATTCAAAGATGTACTTGTATTTCATTTAGAAATAATATGTGTGTGTGTGTGTGTCTGTTCTAATTCTCAATTTTTTTGCTCAAACTGGATCAAGAGAAGAAAGCTAACACATAAATTTCCGGGTATTTGACCAAAACCAACAGTAAAACACAAGCCAGAATTCCCCAGGCCTTGTACATTTTAAGCATCATGAAGGGATCCGTAAATGTTCAGTGTGAATAGTCGAGATCTGCCCCACACAGCTGTTTAGAGCTTCCTCTCCCTCCACCTTCTGCTGTCTGTACAGTTTCTATTTAAAATCCATCTCCCCCCTCCCAGAGAGCCTGTCGTTTGGCTTCTCTTAGAAAATCAAGGGGTGGAGGGGACACCTCCCTGGTGGCACAAGGGGTAAGTCTCAGCACTATGAACCTATCCACAGCCACTGCAGCACCAGTTCGATCCCGGCCAGGGAGCTACCCACATGGCGCAGTAGACCTCTCCCACCTCGCCTGCTGCTCCCCTCAGCAGTGTATTTCAGTAGATCCATCTGTTCTGCCCCCCACTCTGTCTGGTAAATCCTCTCACCCCCCATACCTCTGGCCTGTACCCCAGCTCTTGTATGCATAAATAAATACAATCTTTTTAAAATCCAGTGGGAAGATCCCCTCTTCTTCCCAAGGACCTGCTGCCCATCGCTGTGGAATGTGGAGTTCAGGGCAAGGCAGTCTCTTCAGCGACCGCTGCTCGATGCAATTCCAAGCTGTACGACAGCTTGTTTTTTGAAATTGCTAATTCTTTGATTTCTGTAATTTCTAGTTGTTTTTGCAGGAAAATGGGGTTGCTGTTTTCTAATTTGCTACCAGAGCAAATCAAGGCAGTTTTTTTATGAAACATTAAGTTGCACAGGCGGCGGAGGAGCAAAACCACATTTTCAGACTTTCAGACTTTCAGACACTGAGTTCCCAGACCTGAGAGACCAGGAGGGGACTCAGCAGCCTCGCCTTCTGGATGAGCAGCCTAGGGTCTCCCAGAGGCAGTCTGAGCCCAGGACATGGATCCAGAATTTATTTGGAAGGTGAGTCCAAGAAGCCCAAGAGAGGGCCTGGGGAAAGCAGACGCAGTGGGAAAAAGGCCCTACAAGGCAATGAAGTGCTTGGCCACATGCAGCTGGGCTCCATCCTGCGGGGCTACCCCAGACGTGTGGAGCGCACCTCACCACTGTCATGAGGGGACAGGAAGATGGGTGACACCCACCGACCCCAGACCTCCCGAGCGCACACAATCTGTGAAGGGCAGGCCAGGACCTGCATCCAGGTGGACTCGGAGCCCTAACCCCCCACCTACCTGCTTCCAGCTTCCTCACACGCAGTTTATCCTGCAGTGGTGATTTCAGGGGCCACTGTGAGACCCGCTCTCTCCTGTTTCTCACCTCCCACCCCTTATGTCCTTAGCCCTCAACCATGAAAATGGCCCAACTTCCTTGTAAGACACTCACTGAGTTTTACTTCCCCTGCAAGCTACGCAACTCCTTCCAAAGGAAATAATGTCCATACTTGCAAGGCGTTTGGGAAAGATTTGTTTCTAGCACAAGCACCTTGCTAGGGAGCAGCAGAAGGGACAGACGGCCTCTCCTGGGCGGGAGGACGGGCTGCATCCCCTTCTGGGGAGCACGATTCATCCAAGAGAGCTGTCTGGCCAGCACCTGTGGGTGGTCAGGACGTCCGGGGCTGACCTGCTGGGCCTTCCCAGACAGCGGACTCCAGGGCTGAGACAGTCAGGATGAGTAAGGGAACAGTCACACATACATCCAGGACTCAGCTTACTGTTTCCATGCCAACCCCCAAAAAAGACAAGCCCAAAACAAAAAATCAAAACCAAAAACAATATAGCAACCAGCTGACCAGAGCTGCTTGATTTTTCCTAATTCAAAAAAAAGGTGAATTTACTATTTCTAGAGAACTCATTCCTGCAAGCACCAGAAGTGTTACAGCCACCACAGTGACTTCCTATTATGATAAAATACATAGAGATATAACAGGAGGTGAATGCATCCCTCAGGAACAATAAATTCCACAAATGGACACAGGCACGTATTAGCCGGGACACTCCGGCCTGGAACGGCAGCCCAGGGCAGCTGAATGATGGCCTAATATAAGCAAGTAATTAATTAGGTCCATCATAATTTCTGCTTTATGACACTCACTTTTATATGCCAATAGTCAATTTAATGGCATTTTAAATTAGAGTGCGCCCCAAGAGAGGAGCAGAAAGCAGCATATACCTTATTGGATCACAAATCTTACCATCTGATTTTTTAATTCCAAAAATGACCTAATAAACTTGCTTTATATAATTAAATCTCTCCTAACAACTTCTCTTTTGTGTTTTTCATCCATTTTTGGTAATCATGCAGAGATTTCAATTGGAAATCTGCTTTTGTAATTAACTGCAAAAGTGACTCTGTGTGCTGGGAGGCTCAAGACCCTCTGCTGGTTGTAGGACAGGCCAGAACCTCTAACTTCCTTGACTGCACCGTATGAAATATGCGCGCATAGTTAAAGGAATGGTTTTGCCATGGGAACATTTTTACCTTTTGAAAAATAAACTAGCATAATTTTTTCTTTTGAGATCTGTAAAAAATTGTAGACTTCTGATGCTGCATTAAAAGTTTGGCCTTTGGGGCCTCCCCGGTGGCACAGCGGTTGAGAACTGGGTTGCGAAGCTGCCAGTGGCCTCTGCGGCACCGGTTCGATCCCCGGCTGCTCCCCGGCCACCAGAGGAGGGTCCCACATGGCGCGCAGACCTCTCCTGCCGCCCGCTGCTCCCCTCAGCAGTGTACTTGGGTCCTTCTGCCTGCTCTGCTCCCCGCTCTGGCTTTGGTGAATTCTCTCACCCTCCCGCGCTTCTGACTGTACCCAGTGCATGTATAAACAAACAAACAAATAAATAAATAAAACATTGCCTCTATTAAAAAAAAAAAAAAAAGTTTGGCCTTTGTGGAAGAAAAAGAGGCAGGAGGCAGGGTTGCTCCGAGATGACTGAGAGCAACATTTTCACATGAACCTGTTCTAAGCACCTGATAAATTACTGCAAAGTGGAATAGAAACAGAAATCAACTTTGGCATTTTCGTTAGCTTCAGTCACAAAGCAATTACAACAGTAAATATCGTGGGTGATTTTTAAAGTTTCCGTTAAGTTCTACAAAATGTTAATTTGTGCAAAAATAATTATTTTCTACTTCCACAGAAGTCTTCTAGTCACTAAAAGGCATGGAATTTTGATCAAATCTGCTTGGATGACATCTGTGTTCTCCTCCTAAGAAATGAGAAAACATTCTTTGAACAGCTTATATCATCTAGGTTTGCAAGCAAGAGTGCAGCCCCCAAAGATTAGCTGCAGATACCAGAGGTGAAGAAGGAAGAACGAACAGGTCCTACCATTTGTTGTGTGCTTTTTAAAGTTATCCAGGAATTCCTCCAGAAGCTGGGACTGATTAGGAGGGGGCAGCAGACTCTTCTGGTTCCTTGAGAACAGGTCACTGTCAGACCAGGACGAACACAGGGTTCCTTTCGTGTCTGGCGGTCGAGCAAGCAGAGTGAGCCCCACGGTCTTCTCAGAAAACAGGGCCTCCATCTGCTTGAGGTCAAGATCTGACACAGCTTCCCCATTCAAGGTCATAATTTCATTGCCCTTTCTCAGCCCTGAGAACAAGGAAGGGGAAATAGAAGGAGAGAAAAGGAGAGAAGTATTTTAAGATAAAAGAAGGCTGCAATGTTCTTTGGGAATGTTCTGTTGCTATCTTCAAAGATAGCACCAAAATGCAGAGTGTTGAGATGCCCCTGATAGTAAAACAGACTCCAGCTCTCTCTGGAGCGGTACAAGGAGGAGCCATTCGAGAGCCACTCCAATCAACTCTTCTTCTATTTATCCATTTACCTGGGAAATACGTGGGCTCTACCTGTCTCCCTGCCAGGGACTCAGATCCTCCCCCTGCCTTGTCTCTCCACATCCCTGTTCCCTCTGGGGACATCTGTCTCAAATGCTCTACATACATGCATTTGCAGTTTCACTTTAGCAATTATGTGCACTTCCTTTATTCTAGAAGAGACCGTTTTCTGACAAAACTGTAGGGAGAAAATTTCCCCAGCCAGACTGCACGCTGCGGCTTTGAATGAAAGAGAACAGAGACACCATGTGCCCCACGGACCTTCTCCGTACGCCAGGCCGTCGGGGAGAACATCGCTGACAAATATCCGGCTGAGATGCTGCTGCTCGTCCACTTGTGCTCTCACTGCAAACCCTGCACGGAGAGGAACAGGAGAAAAACAGTCTCAGCTCATTCGACTGTGACTTCGGCAACTCGGTCTGCAGAGTTTCCTTAATCTCTATTCTCATAAGCCAGGGATGTTGAAATCATGACTATTTCGAAAGCAGAGAGATTCAGGAAAAGAGGAACAGGTCAGATGTTAAGGTTTAATAAATACTGACTGCACAGCCTTATTCAAACGTCGAGACAAGATGCTTGTATTTAGAGCCACGTTCACAGCAGCCCAAAGGAAAAAGTGATTCGACTCTCTGCCCACCCATAGAGGAATGGATAAATAAAATACAGCATACACGGAATATTACTCACTCATAAAAAGGAAGGAATTTCTGGCACATACAACATGTATGAACTTTGAGGACACATTGCTAACTGAGCTAAGTCAGACGTGAACGAATACTACAGGATTCCACGCACATGCAGTACGTAAGGCAGCTGAGTTCATAGAGAGAGAAAGCATAAGGGCGGCTGCAGGAGCTAAGGGGGAGGCAGACGGGAGCTACTGTCTGACAGAGGCAGGGCTCCCATCCTGCAAGATGAAAGCAGTTCCAGACACTGGAGGCCTCGACGGTGGTTCAACAATGCAAATGTACTTAATGCCGCTGAACCGCTCTTTCTAAGCAATCTCAAAAATGGGTAGGATGGTAAACTTTATGCTATGTGTATCTTACCACATTTATGATTTTTTTTTAGATTTTCAGTTGAGATACACTTACTGAATTGAAAAAGACTTATTAAAAAAATGTAGTTTCATACGATACATACTGGCGGAAGAAACCACTAGAAGGTGGAAACGAACGTGAACACTACAGTGCTCGCCCAAACATGACCCCATCCAAACCCCCCCTGAGCTCTCCCCCTCTAGGCGAAGGCCTGCCGGTCTGCTCCAGGGGTCCCCAAGTCTTGGCCCTGTCACACTGTGAGTCCTGTGACCACTGGAAGAACAGCAGGCTCCCTGTTGTTTCTGCTGGGCCTCGGGCAGGGCCTGGCAGATGGGGGTCACCAAGTATCGTTGCCAGTGTGTTCGGTCTTTCCATCATTACATGCAAAGGAGACTCATTGCTGGGGGCCAAGGAAGGAGACCGAAAGCCAACGGGAGAGCAGACAAAATGCTGAGAGGGCTTCCCGGGAGAAGCATCCTAACAGGTAGGGCCAAGCAGACTTCATAGATTGAGAAACAAAGAATATTGATACAGTTCACAAGCACTAGTCCTTCCTGTGGGATAAATATCCCCTGATGATTGTTTAATTACTGCCGACCCATTACTGCCGACCCATGCAGAGGATCCAATAAAATGATTGCATTTTATTCACCAATGAACTGGAAAACATGAGCACAGTCTAGAAAGAGCTTAAAGCAGAGTTTAAATACAAACAGAAATGCAAAAATTAAATACTCCCAGGGCCTCCCTGGTGGTGCAAGAAGTTAAGTCTCGGCATTATGAATCTCTTAGCAGCCAGGGACCTGACCACATGGCGCAGCAGACCTCGCCTTGTCTCCCCGCTGCTCCCCTGAGCAGTGCATTTCAGTCAATCGCCTGTTCTGTTCCCCATGCTGTCTCTGGTGAATCCTGTCACCACCCCGCTCTCCAGCACCTCTGGCCTGCACCCCAGTTCTTGTATGCATAAATACATAAATCTTTACAAAAAAAAAAAGAGAGAATTAAATACTCCCTAGTAGCCTGGGTGGGGCGGGCCCTTATCCTAAACTGAAGCTATTGCAGGCAGACACGTCTCCTTCCAGAGACTTGCTGGAGACTAAACAGATCTGCACAATGGGAGGGAAGGGGGCCGAGAGCAGGAGGGGCAGGGCAGGGCAGGGAGACTTTCCAGTGGGTGACAGTGAGCCTGAAGCACGGACTCTGAGGGAGAGAACTGTTGTGACTTCTGAGTTAGCTGACAAGGGCCCCTGGCAGGCTCCATTCACGGAGCCATCATCGTCACCCAACTTTCCTATTTTTCACCCACGTCGAGACGCAGCTCTTTTCTTTCCTTGGGCGTTCTCCCCCAGGAATATATATATTTAGATGCCTGCTAAGAGAGAGAGAGAGAAACGGAGGAAGAGAAAGGAAGGTCAGAAACTACTCTAACACCTTCTGGAAATGCAAACGCGAAGAGAACATAATCAAGTGCCGAGGGCGGGGGCGCACGAGCCGGACAGCAGCTTCTTCGACAAGGGCGTCCGGGCCTTACCAAAGTCGGACACGCCCCCCGTCTTGGTGAGCTGCACGTCGTAAACGTTGAGCGGGAAGACTTCTATCTCATCATAAACCTCCGGAAGGCAAAAACAAGTGGAAAATTATTTTGACTGTTTCCAAATTAGGTGCCCGATGTAAACACAATTAGCTATTTTTAAAATCAAGGGGCCAGGAACGTGCTTCTAATTTCGGTGAGGCCGCCGGGCACTTGCCTGCTCTTGCATAGCTTCTCCAGGCCCCGGAACACAACACTCGATGTTCTCATCTACCAGTTTTCGAAGTTGAAGGCCATAGTGGCTGGGTTCCAGCTGTCTCATCTGAAAAGAAAAAGACAACTACTCAGATTTTAAATGTTCTCTCCAAGTGCATCATTCTCAGCAGGCTCATTTAAAATCAAATGGAAATGCAAAAGAAATGCTGTATCTGATCTGCAGAATTTAAGCTTATGTAAGGGCTCAAACTTCAGTGTGCAGGAGAGAAAAGAAGGGACAAATCATTGTTTTTATAGGAGGTTTTCTCGAGATACTGCTTGTCACTAATAGCAAGAGCTGCAATACCTGATTCTAAGTCATTTCCCCCATTGCTCACTTAGAGAAATTTGTAAAATGTGTGCACAATCACATCGTCTACTCACTTCAGCATTAGGAATTTCCTGCTCTAAAACTTTTCAAAAGGAAAACGTGTACACACAGACTCCCTCGCCCTCCTACCTTCTCTTCCCCCCACACACATTTTCATCAGTAAGATGTTATCTCAGGCCTCTGTCCTAACTGGCCTGCTGCTTCTGACACCCTGCATCACGTAGAAAGCTTATCGACGTAATAACTGATACCTTCGGTACAGAACAATGGCGGTTGCTGCCTGAATAGAAGCCTTGCATAATGGAGTAATGGAGTCAAAGGAAATCAGATTCTACGAGCTACATACATAAGTTCCTGGGACGCCAAGGATTACGTCGAAGTACAAAGGAGGGTGAAATTAAAGAATGCTCTTCTCTTAAGTGTATGTGGCAGAGTAGCCAAATTCTACATGGCTTTTTTTTAACCATTTCATCTATTTAATTCCATTTTCTCTGAAAACTTAAAATACTGAAGCTCTACTACACCATCTGGTGGTCTAAAAAAAAAAATCAGATCACTCTTCTAGAGGAAGTGAACTAATAAATACTTTCACTGATCAATATGCCCATCTGTTCTCTAGTGAAGAAAGGGCGGTCTTAAACACCACTCTGATTAGAAGGCATTATCCTGCATTCACAAGTCTGTTCCCCCAGCGATTTCATTACCTTGCAGGCCAAAGCCAAAACATCTTCCACCTTGTGTTCAGGTTTGATCAATACAGTAACCCCAGGATTACCCTGGAAGCGGATGTGCGTCTGGCTTTCCCAGGTGTTGTCTCGGGAAACACCATCCGTTGAACTGTAGTGCAGAAGTTCATCCACCTGTGGTTAGACACCGAAAGAAAATGTGGTCCATTTCATCAACGAGGGACACCGCTGAAATAAAGCCCCTTAACACATAGCGTTTTATGGCGATGCTGCTCCCATCTCTGGCTTCTCACGGCGATCTGGGACAAGTCAAGCCTACCGCGTCCTCTCTGGTTTAACCCACATAAAAGTGAAGCCCAGGAGGCTGATTAGAAGTCAACAGGGGGGCCTCTCTGGTGGCACAAGGGTTAAAGTCTCAGCACTATGAAGCTATCCACAGCCTCTGCAGCACGAGTTTGATTCCCAGCCACGGAGCTACCCACATGGTGCTGCAGACCTCTCCTGTCTCCCTACTGCTCCCCTCAGCAGTGCATTTCAGTAGATCCACCTGTTCTGCTCCCCACTCTGTCTCTAGTGAATCCTCTCATCCCTACACCTCTGGTCTGCACCCCAGTTCTTGTATGCATAAATAAATAAATCTTTAAGAAAAAAAAAAAAAACAAAGCAAGAAGTCACCAGGGCCATTGCCCCGTGTTAGCCCAAGTGCAGAGACTGCTCTGTTGCCCTACCCTGCAGACCAGGGCACCGGGAAACCCACACCCAAGCCACAATGGCAGCAAATGCTGGAGACTCTCGCCCTTGGCTGCTGACACCTGTCTCCTAACCCTGAGTTACACTAACTTCACCACAGTACTTCCTCTTCTCCCATTTCCTCTGACCATTCGGCTACTTGCTGTCTCATCTTGTAGAGGATCATCTCAATCACAGCAGCTCCAGGGGGCCCACCCCAAAGCACTGAGTGTCAACTTCACTGCCCCAGCAACTCGATGACCTCATGCTGATAGGTACTTCCATGATTTAGAAACAAAAGCAGCTAACATTTACTAAGCAATTCACATAAATGTTTTCTGAGGGCCAAAAAAACATTTGTGTTGCTCCCATGGTAAGGAAAAGAGTTGGGCATCTCAAGCGAAAAGACCTGTTGCTCAAGTCACAGTTTCTATACTCGGGCAGCAAGGAGTGAGCTAGCTACCGGGGTAGCTGATTACTTAAGTTTATGAATTGACAACTGAAATTTGTATGAGCAAAGGAGAATATACGTGAAAATATCTTACACCCCAGAAAATATCACACACCATTACATGCTACTTTGTCCCACTTGGCACATTAAAGCTCTCATTGATGGGTGGGTTTGCTTTGAACCCATTGCATTAAAAAAAAAGAAAGAAAGCAAGAAAGCAAAAGATTCTCCTATCTAGGATTAAAAAGCCAAAAGAGATCCAATTTAAGAAATTCAAAAGAACAGGTTTAGGTAAAATCTGTGTTTTGTTTTTAACATGTGGTGCTCATCTTTGGAACGACATTTCTGGATCTGTCATAGAACTGCCACTTTCTGTACATTTTCCTAGAAAGACCATCAAGCCCAGAATGAATGGGAACCTCATGTGCCAAATGGAAAGGAAAAAAGAGATAGAGGCAGATGCTTGAAGCCAAGGGCGCGGGGCACCCACACGCACGCCACTGTCTCCTGAAGGACCATATTTTCTCCCCTGGGCCAGCCTCCCAGCTACGCCCCATCTGGCCAGAGATCTCAGCCAGGTGAGTCAGCAACAAGCAGGTGCTGCTTCCTCAGTGCACACTTGGCTGAAATGGCTCTGAGAGGCCAGCAGAGGGCACTGCGGAGTCAGGCTGCTGGCCAGGAGCGGCCAGTCCCCATCCCAGCGCTGCCGCAATGCAATTTATTTCTGCACTTTGAGGAAACAGGGGGCGGTGGCTGAGGATGAACAGGCAGGGCAGGGCCATGAGAAACACAATTCACAGCTCTTCCGACCTGCCCTCCTGTGCCCACCCCTCGTGCCTATCACAGAGACTGTGTTACATGGGGCTAAAAGGAGTATATTTTGTGTGTGTGTGTGTGTGTGTGTTTAATTCTATTGAATTACCATTAGTTTACATAACCATATAGCTTCAAGAGGACCACTTCACACCTCAGCAGGTGCACATGACTCTCCCACCATCTCAGCAACCTGCCTCAGGACTGTCACATAACCCTGCTCCACAAACACAACCAAAGTTACTCAGGTTCAGGAAAACACAAACTAAGCTCTGACACCTATCTAGGATTAAAAAGCCAAAAGAGATCCAATTTAAGAAATTCAAAAGAACAGGTTTAGGTAAAATCTGTGTTTTGTTTTTAACATGTGGTGCTCATCTTCGGTTGTCAATTCATCTCACTAATCTACCCTCCAAGGTGGGCACCATCCTGACCCTCTAACTGGTGAGAAGAGTGAGGCTCAGAAAATTCTAGAAACCCACCCAGGCTGTGATTGAGGGTCTATGGGGATCTGGAGCCTGGAAGCCTGGTGTGCGCTCACCAATTCCACACCACAGAGGAAGGAATTCAGGCTGCCAGCTACCGCCTCACAGGACGGGCGCGGGCCGACACTCTCAAATCCTTCGCTTGTCTGATGCACACACCTGGGCAAACACCGTCACTCCCCGGAGGGAGTCACGGCCCTGCCCATCTCAATCTCCTTTGCCTGCTTTACCTTCCTCACAGGTGCAGTGAGGAAACCCTACAGTGCCTTGAACCTCATTTCAAATGCTACCCCCTCTGATGATGTCGCTCCTGTTCCCTTGCCGCCACCTCCCCCAGTTCCGCTCAGTTGGAAGAATCTGCTCTCCCACGTCCCTGGTCCAGCGCTTAGCCAAGCCCTGCTCCCGAGAGAGGCATTTCCAGGCTGCCCCCCTGCCCCCAGGTGCTCAGAAAGAAGACAGCAGAGGCTCTGCCTTCCTCACCCAGTGGGCCCTGCCCCAGAATACACCACACCCCAGGTGTTCAGTCCAATGGGAAAGACAGGCTCCCCCCAAACCCTCAGAGCAGGCTTCCAAGATGTGTCACCTGGGCCACAGGCCCCTGGGCTTCAGGAGAAACTGTCACTGCTTCCTCACCTACCTGGGAGAATGCAGGTTGGCAGTAAGACCCAGATTTAGGACTGTCTCCAAAAATAGCCTTTCTACCGGAGAAACCTCTCATTGTGGCAGACAAATATCAAGGGATAGGGCATCTGGCTTGTGTCATTCGAGTTGAGTCCCCCTTCTCGCTCCTGGAAGCCTCAGGTCTCAACCCAATTTCCTTCATTCAAGATAAAAATAACCCTGGTTGGTCCTATTTACCGTAGATTTTATGGTCACATAGATTTGTCAGGCCTATGTAATTATATTTATTTTTTTCTCCAACTAATCTGTTTGATGTTAATTTGATTGCTCGACCAGCCTGAGAAGAACGAGAAGGGTGTGTGGGGGAGGCAGGGGGCTTTCTTCACCACCCCTCCTAGAAATCCGGCCCTACTCAGTCATGGAAGGTAAAAGCATCCGTTTTCAGCGTCTTATTCAAATCTGTTTATAGTTCTTAATTCTCTAAAGTGTCAGGAAGAGAACTCCAAAGACGATGACTGACAGGGAAAAAACCCTAAACAAGAGCGCAGGTCAAAGCATTACTGGAAGAACAAGAGAAACACACACGCTACGGCCAATTAAACAAGGCCCGATGCCCACAACTCTTCTGAGGATCCATGAGTCTACACTGTTGACTGAAGACGGAGCGAGAGACGCCCCATCTAAGACAAGAGCAGGGAAGATTCAGGGCTTCCCAAGAGATCCTGCCGTGAAACTTCACAAGCAGCCTCTTCCTGTATACGAGACCCACTCATACACATCTCACAGACACACGCAGTTGAAGAATTTAGTAGAACCTGGTATTCAAAGGCAGCCTCGGGAACGTGGACTTGATGAGTCGGGACTAGAAGAGAAGGGATTTGCTGCTCCCAGATCTCCCGGGTCGTGGCAAGCTTTGCCCACAGTAGTGACAAAACTGAATCTCCCTCAAGGGCCGGCACTGTCGAGCTAAACATAACATGGTCTCCTGCTTATTTTCTCTGGCTTATTTTTCAGTAAGCCAGATAACAGCCTCCCACTTGCTTTAGCACAAAGATAGCAGAGGGCCTTAAAAATCGTCACCTAAAAAAATGAGTGATCTCCAAGACTTTTCCTAGCTCACCCTTAAAAGGTGCTACATTCACCCAGATGGCCAGAGTGGGTGGCCTCTGCCAAGTCTGTTGCTCACCCTACATCCCATCGCTGCTCTTCTTCTGCCCAAAAACTTAGCTTCCCATCAGCCTGTTCAGGATTGCCAGTCCTGGGGAAGACATGGGGGCAGCAGACACATGCCAGGCGTCTGGGCAGCCACTGCCTGGTGACTGCTCCCCAGCTCCAGGCTCTGGGGCCTACATCATCCCTTTTAGTTTGATTGTCAAGTTTCACTGGCTTAACGTTGGCTTGTAATATTCCAAAGAGCTCAGGGGCCTGATGCTGTCACTCAACATCCACTACATTAGGATCCTCACCAAAACACTAGCTTGCATTGCCCACCACACCAGTGACTGTCGACCCTAGGTCCCCACCCCACCCTCTCCCCCTTTGGAAAGCACCATTTTGTTGTTATAGTCTAAGAGCCTGTGTTGTTGTGTTGCTTTCCTTCCTTATCTTGCACACAAGCAAAGTCACACAGTGTGTGTCTTCCTCCAGCTGACTTATTTCGCTGAGGTTCATCCTCTCTGAGTCCATCCAGGGGGCACAAGTTGCAGTATATGGGGGCGTCAGGAGATGGGTACAAGGAAAGGGATCTGACACGATGTAAATTGGAAAAAGGCCCTCACTGTGTAGAGGAACTTTCTGCAAGTTCCGCGTGGATGCGCATTGCACTGAAGTCGGTCTCATCACTGTGACCCGCTGACAGCCACGACAAAGAACTTCGTGAGGCTCATCCTGGTTTCAAGCCCTGGCACTCAGGTTAATGTGCAGCCGCTCTGCCCGGCCAAGAAATGCACTTCACAGCTGGCCCTGGCCACTGTGGCCAGGAGGCAAAGCGCTCACCCTCCGGGCAGGGCAGTGGCTCGGGAGCGATTACGGGGCGAGTCCGAGCGTGGTGCTGACCACACGTCAGGCTGCTCCAG